TGTCAGTCCTTTTGTAGTTCTGGTTATTATCTTCATTTCTACAAAATTAAAGGTTAGAACGATAATTATGTAAATGTACAACAGTAACATTTAATAACAACAATGTAAAAGTAAACATTTTAATTTATTTTTTGAGTTGGTAATAAAAATATCGAAGAAAATCTTGATTATTTACAGTTTCTGACATTAAAAATATCACTAAGTTTATCTTTTAGAGGACTCTACTTATGAACAGATTAAGTAATTCTTAGAATAAGTTATTTCAATAAAGTCGAGTGAAGATGTAAAATTTCATACCTATGCAATAAAATGTCTAATATATTTTCAAAAAGATATATTTATGCGATAAAGAGAGTTTAAAGAGAGATTTACATCATATTTTCACGATATAATATTTTATTTTAGATTAATATTTCATTTATTTTCAACATCTTTGAAACTAGTAAACTTTTATAATACTATTAGATCTTTCAGTTATTAAATATTTATTTTCTTTAAAAGGATATTTCATGAAGTATTATTATTGTATTATTTGTAATAAAAGAGGATAACGATGATTTTTATTGCCTCTCTTATTAAGAAAGTTGTACACGTTTAGTACGTGATAGCTTACCTGCATACTGTTGAATTTCAATTAGGATATAATATAACTTATAGATGTATTAGAAAAGTTTATTAATGGCTATTGTTATTCCGTATAGATAAAACTATTAAAATTGTTTGTATTTTATTACGAACTTAGGTAACTCAGTTTTATTAGTATCGTCCTGTAGAATAATAATTATTGTAATTCGCTTTCAAAGTTTATTTTTTATTAAATTATGTTTAAGTTTAATGTTCCCTTAAAAAGTAAACAAAGAGAGTTATGATTCTGTAATATAAGCTCTTAGTAATATCTTGTTTAAATTAATAAAGAAAAAATAATTGTTAAAAGATTTAATGAGATAAATTTTTAAAAAATATATTAAATTAACTGATAATAAAAGTGCGAAAATTCATTACATGAAGAAGTAAACAGTAGTAATCTCTCTGCTTGCTTCTTAAAATAAACAAAATGTAATATCTGAAACTTATATAACAGAACTAAAAATAAAATATGGACAAACTAAATAAAATCAGATTTCTCATCGATAAAAAAAATGTTAAAAGTGATAATGATATTAAATTAGAAGTGAAAAGGAAATCAGAGCTAAATATAGAATAAATTATAAATTAGAAATAATTTCGGAAACCATAAAAAGTCGTAATTAGATAAAGAAGAATTCATAAAATATACCAAGGCATCTGCGTTATATATATAAGACATCAAACGTGAAATATTGTAATGAAACTGATTGAATATACTGTCTTCTTAAAGATGATTGGTTGAATAAATAAAGTAGGTGGAGTAGGTTTTGCCTATTTTTATTTCTAGAACCAATCACCGTTAACACAGTATTATCTTTAATCTTCTCTAAATTTCTTTATATAATTCTATATTAACTTGATTTATATATCATTATAAGCACTATTTATATATTTATAACTATTTTTTTANAATAAATAAATATATATATATACTACATGTTTTTCACGCGTTCTTACAAGAGTTTCGTGCAGCTTGTTTTCGTGTTATACTGGAAAAATTCTAACACACAATTGTTAAAATTTGAATTCACTCTGAAGAAGATACGTTCCGAGTAACAATAAAATAACGTTTTTTGACGTTTGTAGCAAAAAAATAATTTAACTTTATTATTTAAATTTCATATATTAGTAGATATAATATTGAGAGAAAATTCTTTATATAAATATATCCACTACAACACTATCAAACTTCATTAAGACCACCACTATATTTTTACAGTAATAAACTTTTTTAGCTTATCTACAATAATTTAACGCGAAGGTATTAATTACAAAGTTAATTATATCAGTATAATAGTAATTATTACTTAACAAAATATTATTTTTCTATAATGTCAATCGAAAAATTGAAGAGAAACTATTATATCCTGCTTCTGTAGTAACACTAACGATTATATACAGAAATGCACATTAATAATTCTCTTTCGTAACAACAGAAACGCAAGTGAACATACATTAGAATAATTATCATCTATTGGTGACGATAATCAATTCGATTATTATCCTAACGACACTTTCCAGAATGTTAACGTAGGAACGTAGCGAAATTCATCAGATCAATATAAGGAAGAAAATAAGAAAAAGAAACTAAAAATAAATTTAGAAACGATCATTTCTATATTTAGTATTTTTTTAAAATTTATATATTATTGATGACAAACAAAAATATTTTAAAAAATTTTTTGTATTAATCATGTAGTGATATATATATATTTCAATTCGTTAAAATATCCACCTCAGCAAAATATTTGTCACTCTTGACCGTCTCAAACAGCTTTGCTTTGCTCTCAAATCTTTGGCTTGGGTCATTCAATGTAATGCACACAGAAAATATTGATTGTGTCAACTTCATGGGACAAACATGGCGATCGGAATTTTCAACGTAAATCTTCTCGTAAATATTTGTAAATCGTTTTTTAAAAAACTTCCTTTTATATATTAAAAAATATCATTAACAAAATTCACTAGTGTTTACTGCCTTATATTTATTTTTAAAGTAATTTTAAAACTAAATATATTCAAAAAAAATACATATATATATATTGAAAAAATTAGGAAATAATTTTTAAAAAAATCACTCTTATGGGTTTTAGTTTATTATTTTTTCATAGAAAATTAAAAAATAAAGCAAAAATTATCATTAATTAAAATGAGGTGGCAATGTTAAAACACGTTTTAACGATGATTATTATTTATAATTTCCTTCATTTTCTTAAGTACTGAACCGAATAAAATTAATTGTTGTTTATTCGTTTCGTATTATTAATAAATAAGTATAAAGGCATTTATCAGGATTAGTCAATAAAATAATTTAGAAAAATTTTCCATTTAAATGTTGTTTAAAAATATAAGTAATACTGTTTATAATATTTCAGTAATATAGATTAAGTTTCGCTTGTTATAAAAATGTGGAATTTTAGTGTAATTAAAAGAACATTTCATGGCTGAAATGAAAATAATAATAAAACATTTAAGTTGTTTCCACTTATATTCAAATTGCTCTTAAACGAAAGATAATTATTTTTGTAAAATTTCCTAAGACTGCTTTCGAGAGTATCTTAGATACTTTTATAAAATTTTGCTAATTATTTTCCTAATGAGACTCTTATCACTTCTAACCTTTGAAAACTATTATATTTATATATCATTACGAAATTTATTTTTATAAATTTCAAAATGAACTACCACCATTTTACAAATGAATTTCTTTTCTTTTAATAAAAACTATCAATTACTCTTTGAATAGAAATTAAATACTTTGAATATGAACAATTATCATTCAGATGGCTAATTTTTTAGAATTTTATAAGTATTCTATTAATATTTTGAATTTATTGTTATTATTATTCCTTACTCTTTTAAACCAATAATCGCTCACTTATTGCGTTTATCAAACGAAATCTTTCTCGATTGGTTTATAAAGATTCAAACTGTCCAATAAAACCATCTAAAAGCAATAACTATAACTTAGTAAAGTACTTAGACACGCCTATCTATTCCGGATTGGTAACTTTAAATTTAAACTTATATAATTAAGTTTTTCTTTCAATTTCATCTTCTGTTTAATTGGTTGATAAAATTTTAATCTAACAATCAACTCTAAAGATTTTAAATTCTAATTATATTTTTGTAAATTTTTGATTTCTTGCTTTATTAACATAAAGCAAGAAATCAAAAATTTCAAATTAACCAATAAAACAACTGAAACCAAAATATTTTTTAAAATTATATTATTTTAAATTATTCTTAATTATATATTATTTTTGTTAAAAAATAAATAAACATAAATTAAAGATTTATGACAGTGTGTTATAAATAATATTATATAAAACATTAATTTACATAAAATTAATTATATAATAATAAAATTTACGCCTTAATCGTTAAGAATTAATTAATTTGAATATTAAAATTCCAAGAGGGGGAAAAAGAAAATGAAAATGGAGAAGTTAGAGAGAAAATTAAGATGAATGTGATTTTCCTAAATAAGAATTTTATTATAACCTTAAATTATGATCGAAAATAATTAAAATGTAGGGATTTACTCGAGATGTAGGACATAAAATGTGCAGAATCGATCTTCGAGCCAAAAGCTCTGTCAAAAGCCATTCGATTGCTCTGACCTATAATGAACACAGAAGAGAAAGATAGAAGATACAGAAATTTTATTTCAGATGAAAGTAAAGTATAGGCTCGAGGGAAGGAACTGTGAAAGAATAACATGAAGTAAATAAAATGAGTAATATCAAAATCAAATGAAGGTCGATTTTGAAAGGTCAAATTTAAGAAGATTTAAGTTTAATTTTATTTTAATAAAATTTCAGAATGTTAACTTATTTAAATGATATACATTTATGTTAGTTTACAGAAAAGATTTAATAATCTGAAATGAATTTATAATTTCGAAATTTTGTAGTAAAATGGATATTTTTGCATAATTATATAAATTCCCTTAATGATGAAAAGATAATTAAGAGTTATGAAATTAAAATTGGCGTTTGATGTCATTATCATTATGAATAAACCATTTCTGTTTTGTTAAAATATATCTTTTTTTTTAAAAAAATAAAGTGTATTTTATTGTTATTATTATTATTATTATTTTCTTAACTGGAAATGAAATGACGCGAGTTATTAAATTTCTTAAAGAGATATTGATACAGTTTTAAACTTTGAAATTATTCTGTTAGAAATAATGTTTACTTTAATGGAATTTAGAATTTAAAAGAGCCATTAAATTCAATTTAAAGAAGAATTTATTTTCAGAGCATGCAGAACGTATTTTTCCATAAAAATAAATGTTTTCTAAAAAAAAAATGTTACGGGACAAGAAACAGCGTTTCTGTGTCACTGAAGATAATTTCTTTCCACAGGTGCTGTTGTAGATAGGGAAAATGGGCCAGTAACTATGAAACAGCGATTTGTGGAGCATGGTACAAACGAAGACGACACTAGGAATCATCATGGTGCACATGTTTTGCCATCATTTGATAACACAACAGCACAAAATGTTACAACGCAACTCGGCCAAACCGCTTATCTACATTGCATTGTCAATAATTTAGGTGATAAAACAGTAAGTTCATTTCTCATTTTAAAATATAATAAAATTTTTGAACGTTATCATTCCTCACCCCAAAAAATTTCCTTTAATCTTATCTACATACATTCATTTTTAAGATAATTCAAGTTTTGTTTTATTAACAAATTTAGAAAAAAAAGAATTTAAAAATTCGGGATTCGGGTAACTTTATAATGCTATAAAAAATTCTATGTGAGGAATGTATTACTTTGATAGATTAAAGAAATTTAATGATTTTATAAATATTATAAAGATTAATATATATTAAAGTGGTTTGCTATGTAATTTCACATAATTTCTGTCATTCTAAACATCTGTTTTTGTCAGTATGTCGCATTCTTATTACTTAAGGTATCTTCCACATTAAAGAAAGATGTTAGAAAAGAAAAATATAAAGATTTTTAGAAAAATGTAAAAAAATGCAAATTATCGACTTTCAAATCATCAAATACAAATTAGTACAGCGGTCATCAATCAAATCAAGAAGCATCGAATATCTTTTTTACTTTTTCTTTTCCCTTTTTCTTAGAGAAAGGATGAGTCGTTGTAGAAAATGAGATCCATCTTCTCTTTTCTCAATTCTGGGAATGCTGGCGCCGTTACTTTGTATAGAAAAATTGCTATTCTTTATTACAACAATAGATAATATTTGATAAGATTTAAATTATATCTTTTTTTCAACAATTATTTATTACATAAATCCCTAACTATAACATTGTTTTAACACAGGCAGAATAAGTACAATTTTTTTTTGTTTTTTAATTTAAATATTTTATTTTTATATTTTAAAGTTTGTAAACTTTTATTTTAAGAATAAAATAAAGCAAACAATATATATATATATATATTTATTTATATACAGTTTCTTTTTGTGATTGAAAGCTTTATAGGAAATGAACTTTCACAATTCAAACACCATAGAGAATAAACGCCTAGTATGGAATTACAAACATGGGTACATTATATTCTGTTCTGAATGAGTGTCATAAAATATCAAAGGAGGTCGGATATTTCTGTTCAGATAAGGGGACGAATATTTTTTTATATTTTTTTAGTTCTTTGCAGATATCACAATAGACAGAAAGGACAATACTCTTTTAACTTTATTGTTCCCATTGACATCGGTAGTGTGGTATTCTAAACAAAAAGATCATTATGTTACTAGCGAAAAGAGAAAAATACAAAAAAATTGCATCTATTGTTAATTGAAAAAAGAATTTTTAAAAACTCTTTTATTATCATCTGATGACTCGGATTTTAAATAAGGAATTAGTCATATGTTAATTATATAATAATAAAATTTACGCCTTAATCGTTAAGAATTAATTAATTTGAATATTAAAATTCCAAGAGGGGGAAAAAGAAAATGAAAATGGAGAAGTTAGAGAGAAAATTAAGATGAATGTGATTTTCCTAAATAAGAATTTTATTATAACCTTAAATTATGATCGAAAATAATTAAAATGTAGGGATTTACTCGAGATGTAGGACATAAAATGTGCAGAATCGATCTTCGAGCCAAAAGCTCTGTCAAAAGCCATTCGATTGCTCTGACCTATAATGAACACAGAAGAGAAAGATAGAAGATACAGAAATTTTATTTCAGATGAAAGTAAAGTATAGGCTCGAGGGAAGGAACTGTGAAAGAATAACATGAAGTAAATAAAATGAGTAATATCAAAATCAAATGAAGGTCGATTTTGAAAGGTCAAATTTAAGAAGATTTAAGTTTAATTTTATTTTAATAAAATTTCAGAATGTTAACTTATTTAAATGATATACATTTATGTTAGTTTACAGAAAAGATTTAATAATCTGAAATGAATTTATAATTTCGAAATTTTGTAGTAAAATGGATATTTTTGCATAATTATATAAATTCCCTTAATGATGAAAAGATAATTAAGAGTTATGAAATTAAAATTGGCGTTTGATGTCATTATCATTATGAATAAACCATTTCTGTTTTGTTAAAATATATCTTTTTTTTTAAAAAAATAAAGTGTATTTTATTGTTATTATTATTATTATTATTTTCTTAACTGGAAATGAAATGACGCGAGTTATTAAATTTCTTAAAGAGATATTGATACAGTTTTAAACTTTGAAATTATTCTGTTAGAAATAATGTTTACTTTAATGGAATTTAGAATTTAAAAGAGCCATTAAATTCAATTTAAAGAAGAATTTATTTTCAGAGCATGCAGAACGTATTTTTCNAATATTATTTTACATAATTTAATATTTTCTGTTTACTGAAATAGGATTTTGTATATAAGTAACACATAAAAACATCTCTTCGAATGTTCAATAGAAACTTGCAAAAAATACATCTCCTTAAATATGATTTGAAGAAAAATACTTTAAGAAAAAATGATTTATAATTCATTTATACGTGTTATATTAGAATATAAGTTTGATAAATGTACAGAAATTTGATATAAAAAGTCACAAATTTCAAAATGGTAATATAAAACATTTTTTTACAAAATATGGTGCAAATGTTCTAATTTAAATACAAAAATTTCTTCCAAAAAATTGGAATATGGCTGAATCCTTTCACAAATGAAAGGTATTATAATAGTAAAATATCTTCAGATTGAAATCCAAGCGAATTTCAGTTGCATTAGGATGTAAGGATGGATGTGTTGCCCACATATCGTATTTTAAAATAAGAAGCTGTCATATGAGCAAGAAGAGAAATGACACAATGCTTCACTGCCAGATTTTGGAGATAAAATGGGATATTTTTTTTTATTTTTATTTTATTTTATTTTATTTTTTTTTCTTCCTCCTTTCTTCCAGATTGCGCATATTTTTTAAAATCAAAATACCATCTGTCCTGATAAAATAATGTGAAAAATTTATAAATTATTAAGGTGTATAAATTTACATATATTTTATATATTTATATAAACTTAAGATAATTTATTAAGTTTAAAAGTATATATAAGTTATTAAACTGTTATAAAATCCTTAATTCAAATTTATCTTTTCATCAAGAAGAATCCTTAATATAATAAAGTATTAATTACATTTTATTATCTGCTGAACTATTTACTTTAGTTGATAGTAGCGGTTTTAATAACTTATCTTGCGATAATCTAACAGAATACATCATGTTTCGTCATTAATGTCTCACCTGCTCTATGTATAGACATTATATATATTCAGCTATAATAATTTATGTGATCTTCTCTCTATGTTGAAGCACTAAAGCTAAAATTAGGAGTCATTAGTCAAGTTAGTTCTGGTATCCATAGCAACACTAATTTTCTTTCACAAAGGTAAAATCTGAATTATTTTTTACACGATTACGCAAGTAATCCTATTAACCTCTCATTTGATTTGATTGAGTTTACAGATGAATTAACTAACATATGATGAAAAATTTAATCTTATTTTTAAAAGGGAAATCTTCATTTAATAACAATTCATACTTTTCGAAATGTATTTTTAATCATTTTATTATATTTTAGTTTTTTTTTTAAATAAATTAAATTAATAAAACTGATTAAATTGCATTCTTTTCGTGATTATTCTAACTTCAAATAACGTAGTATACATTTATTATATATATATAATTTTAATTGTGTGAACTCTGTAAGGATTTTATTTAAGATTTCTTTCTCTTTGTAAAAGTGAAACAAGCCGAATAATGTTGTCTCTCAATTTTTCTGTGCACTGAGAACGTCACCTCTTGTGTCTTTACTGACAAACAACAGACATTGAACCTGCTACACTGTCAAGCTGCAGGTACTTGTTGACAGAATTCTTTCTAAAAAGAAATGGAGAAAATCCACGAATTGCTTCCCAAAAGTCCATTTTACCTTGAATCTTTTCTTGTTTGTTGTGGGTTAAATACCTATTTTATTATGTTTTTTAAAAAAAGAAATTAAAAATCTTAAGTATTTTAAAATCTTTTAGAAATATGAAAATTTATACTTTTCTCTCTTATCGATTTAGCTGGAATTTTGCAATTAAGATAAATATTTAAAATAACGAGAACACATGAATTAAAAATATGAAGAATATATATATATATATATANTATTTTCCTAATTTTTGAAATAATATACTAAAGAATGTTGTGTATGAATGTGGAGTATATATATATATATTTTTTTTTTCGAGTTCGATTTATTCAAATGTATATTGCGTATCATAATTTAGGTCTGTCTATTGCTTATATATGCTAATTTTACGATTTAATGATTATCTCGAAATATCCATTGTGTTAATGCTAGTAAATAGTTTAATATAACAATGCAATTATTATTAAATTCTGTTTCCCATGATTCTCCTGAATTGATTTAGTTCAATATTTTAAGTTATTTTACAAGGAATTTTACATGTTTCGTTTACTCTAAGATTCTCTTTTTGTATACTTTTATAAAATGCAACGTGTTTTCTATGTTCTTTTCTGTTTCTATAATTCTTTTCTTTTCTTGTTCTGTCGTTCTTGATCTTGATGCTTTCTTCTCCATTAAAACGCATTCTCTATTCTTCTTGTTTACATACACTACAGGGAACACAATGTTTTTTTGAGCCTGTTTCATTTTTTCTTTTCTTACTCTCTGCATGGTGATGCTTTCGACATCCTAAAATCTCTTTTAAATAATTTTACAAAAAAAAATCTAGCATATTTTTTGTCTATTTTATTCTACTTTAGAGGTTAACGATATTTTTCTTATTATGCAAAAAAAAAATTCTGTTTTGTTTACTAGAAATTTTAATTAATATCAAATTTTATTTTCTTCTATCGTTTTCCATAGAAAACAACGTCCATTATAACTTATATATAATTCGTTTCGTTTAAAGAATTACTATTTTTTAAATGTTTAATGCTAATTAACAGTTGATTATAATTATAAATTTAATTATAATGTTAATTAAATTAATTACTAAGCATTTTAGAGTATATAAGGTAAAGACGTATCATATTTTCTTAAGGGAAAAAAATGCAATTTTTTTTTTTTTTGGAAAATTTACAG